GACGGGAGCAGTTTCGACGACGGGGTCAACGGCGTTGATGCCTCTAGGTTCCGTGAAATTCGGTCTCGGAAGACCCAGGGCAGTCCCCGGTTCTCGATTTAACCCACATGCTGGGGTCGGGTAACCGAAGGAAACTGATGGTGACCGGGTGGGCGGCTATAGCACGTCTGAGATTTTCGGAGGAGAACTGCACCTAGACCTGTGGATTTACGGGGCTACTTCTCGAGCGACGATTTCGGAGTTTGACGAAGGACTTCACGGTTTTACGGCGAAAGCGCGGCAATTTTGTGGCAGTACTTTCGAAGTTTGGTTACACGCGCGCGAAATTTACGCAGGGCAACGGCGCGGGAACTACACGGACTTTTCAAGGGGTACGAACGACTTACGACGAACTGGAGAAGGCGGCGGCAACAGTGACGGGGGGGGAGAGACAGCTGCAAATTTTCATCCCTGCCCACGAACTCTCGGCGGATTACGACAAAATTCTTGGAGAATCCATCCCAACTCTGCTTCCAACAACTCGCCATCGACCCGCCCACGACAAACATATTTAATTTCAGCCACGTCAGGTGCTGCCAGCTGCAACTGCTGCGGATGCTGCATGATTCTGGCGATGTGAAGACAAAAAGCTTCAGTTCGAGTACTCGGCAATTTCGGTTTCGGTTTCTGGTCTACTTTCGCTGGTTCGCCCTTGACGACTTTTGGGCACGTAATTCCTGGTTTCGACATCGACATTTCCACACCGACGCATTTTCACTTGGGTTCCTTCCATCAACGGCTTCCTTCGTGGGACTTAACACCCGGTTTTGTTTGTTTTCATCTCGGCGCAGCTGCTGGAACTTTTATGGTGTGTTTTCTTGGAGTGGGGGAGAAAGTGCTTCGCACTGTTCTTTCCTTGGCGTTTTCTTGGTCCTTTTCTGACTTTGTCAGGTTGCGACAGCACGACGGACGACCGCGATCACACCGACACGATCTACGGTTCCTGCTCAATTGCGTTTGAATTCGCGTCAGCAGGTTCCCTCCCTTTTCGCATCTGCTTCGACCGTCGGATCTACAGCATATGCACCTGCGGCTCACAATCCAACTTTCATTACAATTGAGGTCACTTCATCTTCGACCGTCAGATCGAAATCTGACAACATCAACGGCCGACATTCCAACCTTTTCAACAATATTGTCTGGGGCATTTCAGCCGTCGGATTCAGCTGAAGTGAAGATCAACGGCATCCTCGCTACTGGGTGACCCTTTTCAGTACAGGGCTGCCTTATTTAGGAGGTGGGAGAGTGTAAGGATTTACAAATCCTTACTGAGGCGCTCGATAGCGAGGCCATCCCGAGGGCCACGCGACCAACTGGTTCGGCCTACAATTTCGCATCCCAACCTCACCGAGCCGCCTCCGCACCAATCGCGACACTTCGCGAGCCAACTCTACCACACCATCCCCGCCTAGCTAGGTTTTCCCCTATTTAGGCCTCGCTACTTCATTGTTCAGGCATTCGGTGTGAAAATTGGAACGAGAATGAATGCATTGAGCAGCATGAGGAGTACAAGTACCAAACCCTAGAATGTTGTACCCCATATGAGCTACCCCACTACAGCCTACACAGACTATAGTGTATAAGTTTGACACACCCCCATAGGCAAAGTGGGGGAGAACAAGGGGTCACAAGACCAGTCAAGCAAAGCAAGGCAAAGCAAGCTCAGGGTGGATCACAACGTCACCACACAGTCTGAGCACAAGTTCAAGGCCACAAGGCCAGTTCACATGCAAGGTCACATATATATAAAGCTAAACAGGCAGGTATATATATGTAACAGTACAAGCAAGGTCAAGAAGTAAGCAAGTGAGGCAAGGTAGGTACAAGACCTAACAGAGTGCAGAAGCGCTGATGATCACAAGGCGCGAGTGCCTTAGTGAAGATATCAGCAGTGTTGGCCTCAGAGGCCACGTAAGCAAGGCGCAGCTGACCACGCTGCTGCAGCTCACGAGCAAGAAAGTAGCGGAGAGCGATGTGCTTCGTTCTGTGCTCCAGTCTGTGCTCATGACACAAGGCCAGCATGGCCTTGTTGTCTACGTACAGCACTGGAGGAGAACGAGGCGGCTCTCCGAGGTCAGTCAGCAGGTAGGTGAGCCAGCGTAGCTCCTGTGCAGCCATGGCCCCTGCGTAGATCTCAGCCTCACAACTGGAGCCGAGAACAGAAGACGAGCGGGTAGACCGCCAAGAAACAGAGCCGGAACCAAGGCTGAAGGTGTAACCCTGTGACGACCGCTGCGTAGCCTGGTCGTCAGCCCAAGAAGCGTCTGCGTGACCAGTGAGGACCACTGAACTATGCCCTCCAAGCACAAGCCCCATGCCCGACGTACTGCACAAGTAGCGCAAAACCCTCTTCGCTGCAGCCATGTGCTCTGGTCTGTGTCTCCCAGGAGCAACAAAGCGTGCCAGAATGCTAAGAGGGTATGCAAGGTCAGGTCGAGTGCAGGTCATCAGGTACATGAGGCAGCCGACAAGCTCTGGGTACGGGCCACTCGACTCTACGGACTCATCCGAAGGCAGAGCTGAGAGCGAGTGGCGCGTAGGCAGAGGAGTGGCCTGAGGCGAGGAGTACGTGAAGCCGAAGCGCTGAAGGACCTGCTGCACCATATGTGACTGAGTCAGGGTAATGGTGCGCTGTGCTCTGTCCCTGGTGATCTGCAAGCCAAGGTAGCTGCGCAGTTCACCCAGGTCTGTGCACGTGTGTCTCTTCTGCAGCTCGGACTTCACGTAGGCAAGTCCAGCAGTGTCAGCTGTAGCAAAGACCAAGTCGTCGACGTACACGAGGATGTAGAACGGCGGCAAAGAAGTGTCGGTGCGCAGAAACAGCGACGGGTCGGCAGTAGAAGGAGCAAACCCAAGGGCCGCAAGTGTAGTCCTCAGTGTGTCGTGCCACTCACGAGGCGCCTGGCGGAGACCGTAGACTGGCCGCCGGAGGCTCCACTGGGTGCCAGGAGGAAACGTCCCAGTGAAGCCAGGTGGGCGGCGCAGCCAGATCTCCTCGTGAAGGCTGCCCTGCAAGAAAGCAGTGCTGAAGTCAAGAGAGTGCAGCTCGTAGTCTCGGTGAGCAGCTATGTGCAGCAGTACTCGAAGAGTGGTCATCTTCGGGGTGGGGGAGAAAGTCTGAAAGTAGTCAACTCCCTGCCGCTGACTGAAACCACGAGCCACGTAACGCGCCTTGAAGACAGGCGGAGAATCCGGCGGCCGCTTCACCCTGAAAATCCACATGCCACTGACGATGTTCGCCCCAGGCGGGGGAACCTCGTCAACGTAGGTGCCTGTGGACTTCCAGGAAGCCATCTCTGCGTCCATGGCTGCCTGCCACTGAGAGGAGTAGGGACCCTCTATCGCCTCCGCGTAAGAGCGCGGAGTCGGGATGTCAAGTGCATCCGGGTCTCCCTCAGGGGCAAGCAGCATGGACACGAGATGAGGTGAAACAGCAGCCAAGCACTGGAACTCCTCCTGCCTGTCCTCTAGGACGTCCGTGCCAAGAGCACACTCACCCCCGACGGACGGAGGACAGACAGACTCAGACTCAGCGACGAGACTGGTAGCGTAGTCTAGGCGACAGCGAGCAGCGAAGTCGACAAGCTCAGCAACTAGGGCAGACGCAGCAGTAGACTCAAAGGAAGGGTCAGTGACGACAGTAGCAAGGAGACGCGTGACAGTAGGACGCGCAGCACGAAGGGAGTCCGACTCCGGGTCAGGAAGCTCAGGAAGAGAGGACGCTGGAGGAGAGGGCAAAGGGGCACGCAGCGGAGCAGTGGAAGGACGCAGAGACATCCGGTGCGTGCCGGGGACAGGGGGAGGACGCTGACGTGAACCACGACCACTAGTGCGAGCAGCACGGACAGGCGACGCAGGGCGAGACGCAGGCTCACGACGCTCAGCAAGACCTCCAGTAGGACCAGTGTAGGGAGAAGGAGAAGGAAGCGGGGAAGGTGGCTGTAACTGTGACTCAGACTGGACAGGAGGCGGACACTCTAAGGCAGGAGCAGGACCAAGAGAGGACGGAAGACCAAGAACCTGCTCAAGGAGCGGAACGAAGTACGGCCGCGGCCGCGCAGCTCCACCAGTGCCAGCAGGAACAGCACCAGCGCCCCCAGCGGGAGCACCAGCACCAGGAAGACCCGCAACTCCAGCAGCTGTAGAACCCCCAGCTCCTGCAGCACCACCAGCTCCAGCAGCACGTCGCCAGCGCCGGGCGAACCACTCACGCAGCTCCTGTGGAGAGAGCAGCTCCCGCCGGGACGAAGCACCGGAGGAACCGCCAGGCTCAGCACCACCAGACGCCGGACGAGCAGGTCCAGCACTCTCAGGCTCCGCACTCCGAGACTCAGCACCCCCAGGCTCAGCACCCCCACGCGCAGCACCCCCAGGCGCAGTACCCCCAGGCTCAGCACCCCCAGGCTCAGCACCCCCAGGCTCAGCACCCCTAGTCGCAGCACCCCCAGACCCAGCACCCCCAGGCTCAGCACCACCAGCAGTACCAGAGTCAACAGCTACCTCGACTGGCTCAACTGCATCTACCTGGGACACACCTGAGGGAGCAGGACCCTGAGGGGGGAGGGGGTCTACCGGAGGGGGGCCTGGTGTAAGGAAGAGCGGCGGGGGAGGGAGGGACGCAGTGCGGTAGGGGAAGAGACGGTAGTAGGGAACCGACTCGTCAAAGGTGACGTCCTGGGACGCGAAGACACGGCGCGAGGTGGGGTGGTAGAACTGCCAGCCTGGCGCGTCAGGGGGAAAGCCAAGGAAGACGCAGGGAACAGCACGAGAGGACAGCTTGTCCGCAGACAAGTCGCGGACAAACGCCCTAGATCCCCAGACCCGAAAACGCGACGCATCACCAACCTTCCCCGTCCACAGCAAAGCAGGGGAGGTCTCCGGCATGGAGACCCGGGGGTGAAGGTTGAGCTGATGCGCCGCGTACCGAACCGCAAACGGCCACAGAAAATGGGGAGCAGCGCTCAGCAATCCCATTCTGCTGCGGAGAGTCCGGAAGCGTGAAGGTCTGGCGGATGCCTCGTGTGCGACAGAAGGTCTGCAGAAGGTCAGAGGAGAACTCTCCGCCTCGGTCGGAGTGCAGACGCCGAACAGGAAAGTCGGAGCCGAAACTCTCCTGGAGCTGGAGACGAGCCGCGCGGATCCAGGCGATCAACACCTCAGTGACGTCACCCTTGCTGCGCAAGGGGAAGACTGCGGTGTAACGCGAGTAGTCGTCAACCACCAGCAGGAAGTAGCGCTCCTGACCCTGCCCACGGACGCGGGCTGGGCCCCACACGTCCATGTGAAGCGTCTGCAGCGGAGCCTCTGTCGGAGGAAACTCGGAGGAGTGAGGAGCAGCGCGCTGCCGCCCCTCGACGCAGGGAATGCAGGTGGGGGCAGGCCCCGGAGGAAGAGGAGGGAGGGACCGGGGGAGACCAGAAACAAGAAGACGGGAAGCCATGCCTCGAAGGCGAGGCAGGGAGGGGTGACCAAGACGGTGGTGCCAGAGGAGAGTCCGGTGAGACAGGAGACGACACGAGCAGGGGGCAGACTCAGGACCAGACCTGGACGCCGCAGCAAACACCTGACCCGACGCGGCTACCTGAGCAGACTCAGTGACTGGGGAAGACTCAGTAGTCAGTGTGTACAGGCTCGACCCTGGCCGACGAGCAAACGTGGCCAAGTGGCGGCCCGTGTCCGCACAAGTGCAGTGGGTCACCCGCTGACGCGCAGGGGTGAACTGGTCAACTCCTGCATCCTGGAGGTCAGCACCCGCCACCAAGTTCGTAGAGAACGAGGGGAGGTAGAGACCCGACAGGGAGCCAGACGGGACCGCTGGACACGGTAGGACAGTGGAGTAGTGAGCAAGGACAGGACCCCCAGAGGGGTCCGCTAGGGAGACCGCAACAGGCCGACTGAGCGGTGTGAGAGTGGTGCAGTCTCGAAAGAAGGAGCGGGAAGCACCCGAGTCAAGGGTGAAGGTGTGGGTGTCCGGGGGCGACGCAGCACCTGAGAGCGCAAACTCACCGGCACCTGGGGCAGCAGACGCACTGGCACCTAGAGCAGCAGCCTCACAAGTACCTAGCGCAGCAGCCTCTATGCCTGGGTCAGGCGGGAAACACCGGTAACAGTCACCCTCATCACTAATAGTCACAGCATACATGGCAGCAAGAATAGCATCAAAGTCAAGATCATAGATTGCAACACCCGCCCTAGACAGCTCGCCCCAGCGAGGGATCTCCGTAGCGTCGGGGAACTGGTGGCGCCACGCGTCTGTCAGCCGACCGAAGCAGCGCTGGGTGGGGTGCGGGCCTCCACACTGCTCACCCGCCCGGTCGCCGGTACGGAGAACGTAGGTGCAGGGGCCAGCACCCCCACCCCGCTGACGAGCAGCGTACCACTCACGAAGCTGCTGGGGGGAAGGGGTCTCACGGGTACGCTGCTGCTGCTGCTGGCGCGCACCACCACCGGAGCCACCCCTCTGCGCAGCGCCACCCCGACCAGCTCCGCCGCCTCCGCCGCTACCTCCTCCACTACCGCCACCTCCGCCACCTCCGCTCCCACCGCCACCGCCGCCTCCACCTCCACCTCCAGTCCCGCCACCGACGCCCCCACCCCCGCCACCACCCCCACCGCCACCCCCACCCCCTCCACCACCTCCACCTCCGCCTCCACCGCCCCCTCCAGCCCCTCCAGCACCCTTGCCCCCCTTGCCCTTGCCAGGGCGGCGTCTCCCGCTAGGGGCAGACGCCGCAGCGACCGACTCAAGACCAACGAGGTCGGCCGCAGCAGCAGAGGCAACAGAGGGCAAGAGGGGAGAGGGGGAGCACCCCTCAAAGACAGGGGTACGAGGGTCACCACGAGAGGCACCTACTGCGACTATGCTCTTCTCTGCCGCGAGCAGGCGCTCCTCGAGGAGGTCAACGGTGAGGGTGGTGGGGCAAACAGAGAGGAAGTGGTCCCTAACCGGGCGAAGGGTGTCAGGGAGCCGGGTGACTATGTAGTAGAGGGTGATGTACATGGGGGGGGGGTTCTTGGCGCAGAACTCAGCAGGAAGCGCAGCGCGGTAGCGAGTGTCACTAGTGCGAAGGTGCGTAATGAGGTCAGCGACAGTGGGAAAAGCGGCGAGGTCAGGGAAGAGGTACGGTAGGATAAGGCGGCTAAGCGCAGCAGTGGCAGGGGAAGAGTAGCGCGCAACTACAGCGTCGTACAAGGTCTTAGCACTCTTGTACTGGCTAAAGTGCGCACGCTCAGAGGTCGGCAAGTGGCGGCGCACAGCAAGGCGGGCAGCAGCATCGCGTGTGGCCCACTGGGAGCGAACAGTGGGGTCAGCATCAGCAGCAGGGGCAGGAGAGGCACCAGAGGTGAGGTCAAAAAGGGAGAGGCCGTCTGCTCTGTCGCTCAGTAGGAAAAGCTGCAGGTCATCTACCCAGACGTCAAAGTCAATGGCCCGACCCTCAGCGTCAAAAGTGAGGACACTGGGGGAAGCCATGACAGCAGTAGACTAGCAGTGAGAGCAGCAGGCTAGGGCAGAGCAGTGGTGGAGGCGCTGCTCTTACCGGGCAGGCGAGAAGGACCGAGGCGCGTCGGCAGGAACAGGGCCGGGACGGCAGGAACGGCGGCTCGGCGGCTCAGCGGCTCGGCAGCTCGGCGGCTCGGCGGCTCGGCGGCGGCGGCGTCTCGGCGGCGCGGCTGCTCGGCGGGGCCGCGAAGGGATGGCGAAGGGGCCGCAAAGGGCGGCGGTGGGGTCGCACGGGTGGGGCGACGGGGGGTCGCGGGCGGCTGCGACCACAGGAGTCGCGCGCGGCTGCGGCGACGGGAGGGCAGGCGGCCGCGGCGACGAGGTCGCAGGCGGCTGCGACTGCAGGGTCGCGGGCGGCGGCGACGGTAGGGTCGCGGGCGGCTGCGACAGCAGGGTCGCGGGCGGCGGCGACGGCAGGGTCGCGGGCGGCTGCGGCGACAGGGTCGCGGGCGGCTGCAGCGGTAGGGTCGAAGGCGGCCGCGGCGACGAGGTCGCGGGCGGCGCGAAGGGCGACGGGGTCGCGACGGGCGGCGTCGGGGTCGCGGGCGGCTGTAACGACGCCGCGCAGGGCGACGCGAGGGTGGGGCCGCGGGGTCGCGACAGGGGGGCGCCGGGGCCAGCAGAGGCGGCGCCGGGGCCGGAAGCGCGGCGCGACGGGGCCGCTAAGGGAAGCGAGGGGAGGGGAGCGCGACTCGGGCAGGGGCGGAGCGCGCTCCGGGCAGGAAAAAAAAAATCTTACGGTGGGCCCTAGGAACAGTTCCCACGAGGGAACCTGCTCTATACCATGTGAAAATTGGAACGAGAATGAATGCATTGAGCAGCATGAGGAGTACAAGTACCAAACCCTAGAATGTTGTACCCCATATGAGCTACCCCACTACAGCCTACACAGACTATAGTGTATAAGTTTGACATTCGGTAGTTCAACATTCTTGTTATTCGGTATCTGCGCACTCTGACAAGTTCATTCATAACATCTACGGTTTAATATACTATTTCCCTATTATTATGTGTTAAGTTTTCCTTGAAAGAAGCAAGGATCCAAGGGCCCAAAATTGGTCCAGGCCCACCCTGGCTAATCAGATTTGGACCACGTCTCACCCTGGATTCTCTGGTTAATTTTTCCGCTAGGCTGACAAACACAGTGTAAAAAGATTCCAGCCTGAGTCAGTGTAACTTTTTTTCGAAGATTGATTGGCAGGGTAAAATCTACGTTACATAGACTATCTAATATAGGAAACGCTGAATATATGATTATTGTAGCAGTGCTTCTCATAGACAATGTTCACTTCACTCACTAGTAGGCAAGCTATTTGCACACCACCACTGTCGCCCACAAACTGCGTGTTGCTCTCCCTGGTCCCAATCAAGTCTTTGGTGGGGCGCCTGAGCTTCTCCCGCCCTGAAAATCACCACCACCTCAATTCGAAACAGTCAATGTTGTCAAACTATATGTACTGCATATTGTCTAGGCTGTAGTGGGGTAGCCCATATGGGATACAACCCAATTAGGGTTTACTACTTGTACTCCTGCATCCTGTTAGTTCATTCATTCCTGCTGCTAGATTCTAACATGGTTTCAGAGCACTAAGGTCCGTAGGACCGTTTTTTTTTTTCGGGCCCACCTACCGTTGCGGTTACCGCGCTACCCCACGTACCTGCCTGCCTTGCCTTGCCTTGTGACGTGCTGCACTACGCGCGCCGTCCAGCAGCCCTAGCGCTGCCTCCTGCTGCCCTAGGCCAGCGCGCTGCTTCTAGAGGCCCGTAAGGCCCGCGCGCCGCCCCTACACGCCCTTCAGGCCCGCGAACAGCCCCTGCAGACCGTTAGGCCCCTTGCTGCCGCGCGCTGCCCGCACCGAGCCGCGCGCAGCCCGCTGCTGCCGCGCGCTGCCCGCACCGAGCCGCGCGCAGCCCGCTGCAGCCGCGCGCAGCCCGCACCGAGCCCACGCAGCCCGCTGCAGCCGCGCGCAGCCCGCACCGAGCCGCGCGCAGCCCGCTGCAGCCGCGCGCAGCCCGCACCGAGCCGCGCGCAGCCCGCTGCTGCCGCGCGCAGCCCGCGCCGAGCCCACGCAGCCCGCGTCGAGCCGCGCGCGGCCTGCTACGGCCTCGCGAGGCCCGCGCGCGGCCCGCAGCAGCCCGCGCCGAGCCGCGCGCGGCCTGCTACTGCCTCGCGCGGCCCGCGCGCGGCCCGCAACAGCCCGCGCCGAGCCGCGCGCGGCCCGCTACTGCCTAGCGCGGCCGCGCGCGGCCTGCAGCAGCCCAGCGCGCTGTCAGCGCAGCCCGCGCCGAGCCGCGCGCGGCCCTCTGCCTCGGCCCCGACCTGCCGCTGATACGGCCCCGCCCTGCAGCTGCCACGGCCCTGACCTGTCGCTGATGCGGCCCCGCCCTACAGCTGCCTCGACCCCGACCTGCCGCTGACGAGGCCCCACCCTGCGACTGCCGCTGAAGCGGCCCCGCCCTGCAGCTGCCGCGGCCCTACTCTGCAGCCGTTGTTGCGGCCCCGACGTCGCCACTGTCGTGCGCCTACTCGGCCGCCGCCCGTCGAGCGCCGACCCTGCTCGCCCGGCGAGCGCCTGCTCTTCCAGCCTTTGGTGAGCACCTGCCTGCCTGCCTGCAGGCCTGCCTGTCTGCCTGCCTGCCTGCCGGCCTGCCTGTCTGCCTGCCTGCCTGCCTGTCTGCCTGCCTGCCTGCCTGCCTGCCGGCCTGCCTGCCTGCCTGCTTGCCTGCCTGCCTGTCTGCCTGCCGGCCTGTCTGCCTGCCTGCCTGTCTGCCTGCCGGCCTGTCTGCCTGCCTGCCTGCCGGCTTGTCTGCCTGCCTGCCTGCCTGCCTGCCTGCCTGTCGGCCTGCCTGCCTGCCTGCTTGCCTGCCTGCCTGTCGCGCCTGCCCTGCCCGCGCTACTGCTACTACTCCTGCTATTAGCAGGTGGCCAGATGCAGCTCCAGCGTCGTTCCTGCGTGTCTCTCACGCCCCAGCAGCTTGATGAGTGGTATAGGGTTTGGGGCTGTCGAGGTGGCCGTCGTAGCAGTCGCCCTGGAGCTGGTCAGTTGGGGGCGTCTGGCAGTGGCCAGCTGCAGCTGCAGGGGCGTCCTCGCGAGACACTTACGCCCCGGCAGCTCCAGGAGTGGTACACTCAGTGTAGCAGGTCTACGCGTACCGTTCGCTGCCCGTACGTCATTCGCACAGGTGTTAGGACTGGTCAGCCTTGCGAGATGCTTGGTCACACACAGTCCCGCTGCTTCGCCCGTCTGAGCGACGCCTGGCGTACTGAGTTTGGCGACGAGGCTGAGCTCCCTGCCTGGCCGGAGCTGCTTGGACAGAGGGTAGATATCTTTGCACTTGACTATGATGCTATTCTCACTGCCATGTATGCATTGCCTACTAGTGTCGACCGTGCCTGTTACCTGTGCGTCCCGCCTGACCCTGGTATAGCGCCTGCTGCTCTCGGTACTGGTGAGGCTGCTGCTCTAGGTGCTCGTGCGTCTCCTGCTCTAGGTGCTGGTGAGACTGCTGCTCTAGGTGCTGGTGAGTTTGCTCTTTCTGGTACTGCGCCTGCTGCGGTCTTGCACACCTTCACCCTTGACTCAGGAGCTTCTCGCTCTTTCTTTCGCGACTGCACCACACTCACGCCGCTCAGTCGGCCAGTTCCGGTCTCCCTGGCGGACCCCTCTGGGGGTCCAGTCCTTGCCCACTACTCCACGGTTCTGCCGTGTCCGGCCGTCCCGTCTGGCTTCCTGTCAGGTCTTTACCTCCCCTCGTTCTCTACGAACTTGGTGAGTAGAGCTGACCTCCAGGATCACGGGGTTGACCAGTTCACTCCTGCGAGTCAGCGAGTGACTCACTGCACGTGTGCTAGGACGGGCCGGCACTTGGCCACGTTCACCCGTGCACCTGGCTCGAGTCTGTACACACTGACCACTGAGTCCCCTCAGGTAGCTGCGTCTGCGTCTACGTCTGGTCAGCTGGCGGCCCCCTGCGAGTGTCGCGCTTTCGACACTCTCCTGTGGCACCACCGCCTTGGTCACCCCTCCTTGCCTCGCCTGCGTAGCATGCACTCTCGCTCCCTGGTCTCTGGGCTTCCCAGGTCTCTACCTGCCCTCCCTCCCTCGCCTGCGCCGCCCTGCATTCCTTGCGTCGAGGGGCGGCAGCGCGCCGCTCCTCACTCCTCCTCGTTTCCTCCCACAGAGGCTCCACTGCAGACGCTCCACCTGGACGTGTGGGGCCCAGCCCGCGTCCAGGGACAGGGCCGCGAGCGGTACTTCCTGCTGGTCGTCGACGACTACACGCGTTACACCACGGTCTTCCCCTTGCAGAGCAAGGGGGACGTCCCTGATGTTTTGATCCCTTGGATCCGCACTGTTCGTCTCCAGCTCCGCGAGCGATTCCGGCGGGACTTTCCTGTCCTGCGTCTGCACTCTGACAGAGGTGGTGAGTTCTCCTCTGACCTCTTGGCAGCCTACTGTGCGGAGCACGGCATCACCCAGTCATTCACGCTTCCGGCCTCTCCACAGCAGAATGGGGTTGCTGAGCGCCGCATTGGCTTAGTCATGGAGGTCGCTCGTACCTCCATGATCCATGCGGCTGCCCCCCATTTCCTGTGGCCGTTTGCGGTCCGGTACGCCGCGCATCAGCTCAACCTCTGGCCCCGTGTCTCCTTGCCGGAGACCTCGCCCACACTGCTGTGGATGGGGAAGGTTGGCGATGCGTCGCGTTTCCGGGTCTGGGGTGCTCGTGCCTTTGTCCGCGATACCACCGCGGACAAGCTCTCCGCCCGCGCTGTTCCCTGTGTCTTCCTTGGCTTTGTCCCTGACGCGCCTGGTTGGCAGTTTTACCACCCCACCTCGCGCCGTGTCTTTGCGTCTCAGGACGTCACGTTCGACGAGTCGGTTCCCTTTTACCGTCTCTTCCCCTACCGCACTGCCCCGCTCCCCCCCCCGCCGCTCTTCCTCGCTCCAGGTGCTCCCCAGGTAGAC